GTAGTAGACTCATGACGTTCAGTAAAAAATTGTAATAATTTAATGCCGAATAAAATATTTTGAATTTGAATAAATAAATATTAGTATAGATATTATAAAGCTGAAAATATTGTCAGGTTTTATATGCTTTTTAAAGCTTTATACAATTAAATAATCTTGCTGATTTTTTCACTTGCGTAGCGCTCTGATGTACAGGAGCTACGGCGTAGCTATGCTTGTAGACGTACCGTTTTTCATATAGAGTTCTAAGAGAAAGCACTTTAGACATTTTTAATATATACCTATGTAAGTAATCAATTCATTTTAATTTGAAGTCCTTCAAAATTCTGGCTTTCTTCACTTCACTTATTTACTTCTAACGGGGACAATCAAAAAGTATCCATATACACAACATAGTCAAATATTCTACGTTTAACATTTATATATATTTTTGAAGTAGCGTACCTGTAGGTAGGTATTATTACTGCACTTTCCATTGTCATATAATATATTCTTGTGGCTGTACACCAACATTAAAATCACTTTAAAAAAATGTTCTCTCAGGTATTTTCTTAATATTTTTTTGTTTAATTCTGCCAGCATTTTTATATTTATACGAAAGATTTATATTTATAAGTAATTTATGGGATCATCTCTTAGACATAATCTATTCATTAAAAAAATATTATAAAATCCGATTCAAAATTATTTACTTAGTTACCCACAAAATAAATTTCAATTGAGTAGATAATTTTTTAAATATGGTATAAAAAGCTCACAAACCGTTCATTCAAAGAAAGTGAAAGCAATGAATGAACTCATTTTGCATTTAATTAAACTACTGATAAGTAAAATTAATCTAAGCTTATAATAATTGTAACTTAACTTTTTATGTATGTATGTACTATGTATATTTCTTACTCTTTCAAGCTGGAACGGCTGTACAGATTTTGATGACATTTAGAACACAGATAGGCTATAACCTGGAACACATCCCATCACATAGACAACTATTGTGTCTAATTTGCTATAACGTGACGCTGATAGTTTACCAAAAGGCATATATACATATTTTATTATATTACCTATAGGTACATATAAAAAGTATTTTTTACCAAGTCGTAAAAGACAACTGACAACACACCCGAACCAAACCGGGTAAGTCGCTACTATATTTATATGAGTACTTTCATTAACACACACTTTAAGAGATTTAAAATAAAAGTAGGTACAAAAATATTCAGTCATGCGGTAAAAGTGTACAATTTCGAGCAAAAATAATGAACGCAGTACTACACGTCGAAATACGTTCGTAACGCAGTTTGTATAACAATGTTAGCCTGTCGACCGTGACACCCTGAAAACACCAATTCCATACCGGTATCGACGCTACGTTTAAAAATGTTATAGCAGCAAGCTATTTTGTCATACGAACTGAGTATTAACTTAAATTGTTAATATTTAATATTTTATTTATAATTGATGTTTGTTTGTGTTAAGTAAAATCTACTATACTTATGTCATACTAGCGACTCACCCTCGCTCCGCTCGGGTTCGTACCTACGTAAGGTTAGTATAGACTTCTCAAAGATGAGATACTTTCTCACAGTAAAAACGATTCTAAATGTCGACCCGGACAACCAGCTATCATCATACAAAATTTCATCAAAATCTGTCCAGTGGTTTTCTTGTAATGCGTTCCCAGACAAACGGACAGACAAAAATTCTAAAAACTATAGATTCGGTCTTTTATTGATAATAATGACTATTTCAGATTAAAAGTTTTTTTTTTTTTAATATTTAATGTACAGATTCGACTCAGAATTTTATTATATGTATACTCGTAGATTAATTATTATTTCGAAGGCTGCGTTTCGGATATTTACTATTTTTAAAGGTATTATTTAAACTCCATGTTCTACGCGCTGTAATATTACGAAGAACAATTCACACAAAACTTTACATGGTGGGAATCATGAAGATATCATATGAAATATTCTATTAAATTAAAATAAAATTTAATGATTAAAAAAAAGATTTAAAATAAATCCTAAAATATACATTTTCACCAATTTTTGTTTTATAAAATGTGACGAACATGAAGTGCGGTTAAACAATGTTAAAAGTATACAAATTAAAGAAAAAGTTTTTTTTTTAAATAATAATAAATTGTGATATTTAATAGATATCGATAAGTTTATTTATAAGCATTTCAAAACTTTTCTTAGAAATCTTTTTACACATTTTATTACATTTTTTTTATTATATTTAAAAAAATACGAAAAAAAAATTGAAAATTTAACTATTCAATACAAAATGAAATAAGCTTATATTTATAGAACCTCATCTCAAAGTATACTTAAATATAAAGTAATATTCGATACGTCTACATAATGGACAATAATATTAGGAGTGAGAAGAGAAAAGGCTTATCTCAGAAACAGAACAACTAAAAATGAACTCTAACATAATCCCACTTAAGGTTTGTATTTCAATAATTTATTTTTGTCATATTGTATGGTTTGGTGTTAAAAGCGCTTGCGGCGAGCCAACAGAGCGGCAAAACGGTGCATAACACGATATTGTAGAGCTGCACGCTGGGATGAACACGACGGATTGTTTTATGTACTATCTCACTATACTACACATTATTTCCATATCTATATTATTATATTCTACTAGCATTGCCCAAGCTCCGCCTGCGTTCAAATGAGAAAAACCTAATTCTTAGGTTTTACATATTAGTATACTCTTACATTGCAGTTTTAATTTTTTTTCTTAGAAATGAGACCTCTTCCCGCGGTAAAAAGTATCCTATATGTTGACCTGGATAACCAGCTATCACCATACCAAATTTCATCAAAGTCCCTCCAGTGGTTTTTCCGTGATGCGGTAACAGACAGACAGAAAGACAGACAAAAATTCTAAAAACTATAGATTCGGCCTCTGTATCGATAATAAAGTCTATTTCAATAAATTTTTCCAAAAAAATATTCAATATACAGATTCGGCTTAGTTACGATTTTATTATATGTATAGATGTACGACTGTGTCAATATTTGAGATTTCTGATATCAAAAATTAAGAGGTAGGTACTCATTTCGTCTATATTTTTATGGATATATTTTAGATATCTTTGCCAGTTGTAGGCCTATCAAGGATGTCCAATATAAGATTAAAAAAAAAACAGTCATTAGGACTGCCGACAGACGTGAAAACTTAAAACTATAAACTAACAGTTGTTATTTTTGTATATTCAAATTAATTGTTTGGTCTTAAATTAAAATTAAAACTGCTTACATTTTTTTTTACATTTTTTCATTACATTTTTAGTCATCTACACTCTGAGTATGAACGTTAACACGCCACGTGACCCTAAAAGCCTATTATATATAATAATTAGGTAATTAAAATCATATAATCGTCTGACAATACCTATAATTAAACATTTAAATAAATATGCTGGGACAATAACATACAGCACGATCTAGTCCCATGATAAGCTACGAGGCTTGTGTTATGGATACCACACAGTTGATACACTACACATATATAACTTTAAATACATACATGTTATAAATATAAACACCCATAACTGGAGTACCAGCATTCGTGCTCATCACACAAATGAATGCTCCCAGCGGGACTCGAACCCACGACCGCTGGCACAGCAAGTAGGATCACTACAAATTGCATTTGACTCAGTTTCAAATTTAACTTATTCGTTATTATTTCAAATATTTTTAGTTAGTATTTTACTACATATAATTTTATTTCTAACCAATTAAGCACTACTAAGGTGTAAACTAAAACTATAGTACCAATCCCTTTCAAGTGTGAATAGAACGTCCATTAGCAACTAAGGGTTGATTGTTTGGATCCTCCTGCCTCGTCTCATGCTAATTCATATTCATATTCTCGACCACAGCTATTCTATACTGATTGCTATATTTTGTACATGTAATAGCTTTTTAGATTTTGTAACAGCTTACCTAATTGTATTATATAGTTGCTTACATAAAGACCTTGTACCTATACTTTTCTTAAAAATTGTTAGATATTCCTATTTTAATATACTTAAAAAAAATATATAACACGAAAAAAATAGAAAAAATATAATAATTAAGTATTAAAACATAAAACTTCGCAAATAAAAAATACATATTTTCATTTTATTTTTTTGACATTACTTCCATTAAAAAAAAGGTAAAGTTAAAATCTATATAAAATATAGATTTTAACTTTACCTTTTTTTTAATATTGTTTAATATTTTTTTTTATATTGTTTTGAAATAACTTGATGAATGGACACTTGATTTCAGTATATATTCTACTTCATTTTTTACTTTGTATATTAATCACCATAAAAATTATTATAAGGCGACCTTAATAATTAATGTAAACGTTAAACAATATTTTAGTGCATATGGATAAAAATAACTTACAACCAAAACCAAAAATAAAATACGCAATAAATAAAAAATCTACCTTACACGAGCAACACAATTCCCAAACTCATTACAAATCGAATTCATCCAATTACATTTCTTTCAATCAAGGTTGCGGTTTAAAAAAGAAATTTAATCTCTCTAATAAACATGCTAACAAGAACGCGCAACACCTGTTGTCGCTGGCGAGACGTTTAGCTTCTCGACCAATGGGAGGCCAGAGTCCGCCCATACCCGCTCCCCATTGGCTGGCCGCCCGGAGGGGGGAGACCCAGAGCACAGTCTAAGCGTTAAACATGACACTGTCAAGAAAATCGCCGCATTGAGCTTTCGGAAGCTTTTCACGGGCGCGCGCGAACACGATTTTTGGATTTGTGTTATGTTATATATTATTCATTCATTATTATTATAGTCATAATAAAATATTATTATTAAGTGCTTTTTTATTCATAAATAGAAAATTTTAAACAAATAACATTTAAGATTCATTTAATTAAAATGACAAATAAAGAGTGTTTATATCAGAAAATAAATTAATAAATTTTGTTAGGGAGTTAAATTTAATATATAAAAATGTCACTCGGAAAACAACCGTCAGATCATATAAAGAGACCGATGAACGCGTTTATGGTATGGTCCAGGGGACAGCGGCGGAAAATGGCGCAAGACAACCCAAAGATGCACAACTCAGAAATATCAAAAAGGCTAGGCGCGGAGTGGAAATTGCTCACTGAGATGGAAAAGCGACCGTTTATTGACGAAGCGAAACGGTTAAGGTGAGTTTGAAAATAAAGTTTACAATATGTATGTATGTACATTAAAATTATAATGTATAGGTAATTATAAGTTTTCTCAGTTTCGACTAAAAACATTTTTTTTGATTAATTATATAACTTCAAGTTAAAATTAAAAAGTGAATGACTATACTATCTCATGATTTCACGTGCAAATTCAAAGTTTAGGTACTTGTTACTTATATTTTATTTAGTTAATAAACAAATTTCTCATAAATTTAATAAAAAAAGATTTAATAAAAAAAATCTCGAAAAAAAATATTAAAAATATTATCAATATTCGCTCTTTAGGAAGCTAAATATACCTACTTATAATATGGGTATGGTTAAAGAAAGTATTCACATACGATATTCGTGTAATATTACTTGATTTATCGATAAGGAGACAGGGACAAGGAAGTCCTAAGTATGTACTTTAAACTCACTTTACAGTATTCGTATCATAGTGCTTCGATTAGATATCTATAGATACCTATAGCTAATATAAAGTTATTTATATAACATTACAAGTAATAATCGATAATTATATAATATATTATTTTTGTACGCTAATCTTTTTTTTTTTTATAAAATTTAAAATAAAAAATATTTTTTATAGTAAATCTAATATATAAATATCTCGTGTCACGGTGTATGTGGTCGCACTCCTCTGGAACGACTCGACCAATTTTAATACATTTTTGTTTTTTTTTTTGCTACGTATGAGAGAGAATAGGTCGTATAGTATTTTTCACCTTCCTAGCCCCATCCCCATTTTTTATCACGGTTTTAGTATTTTTGTATGAACAAGTTTATATGGCAGAACAACGTTTGCCGGGTCAGCTAATATTTTTTATAGAAATTAAAAATTAGCACGTTTAATAAAGAGTGTATTATCCGTTTAGTGCATAAATAAATAAATACTTAAATATACTCATATTTACATAATATGCCTAAGTTTGGTAATATTTCTATATAAATAATGAACTTTGAAATCATTTTATGAATTTTAAGAATCCAACTGACCACTTGTTCGTACTAACAATGATACACACTTAATATGGTATGCATGGGTGGTGAAAAATATAACGCTTACTTAATATAGTTCAAATATTAGATAAAGTAGTATTTTTTGTAAACAATCTTGTTTAAAGCTTAAATAATATTATTTTTTTATATTTGTAACTTCTAACTTATAAACTATTTATTTGATTGAGCATTAAGTAAGGTTAAGGATTATTTTAAAGTAAATTTTGGACAGTCTTTTATTAAGCTTAAAACCATAAAAAACTGTCCCAAGACTAAGGGTTCCAAGTTCGAACCCTTTACGGAACAAATGTATTTGACATACAATGTGATCAACGTACGTTGGCTAAAGATTAATCTAGTGAAACGAAAGTGGAACACTCAACTGCTTCGGGTTTTTTGGCTAACTTCAACAGGAAAAAGTCAATTCGGGTGTACTTTTTTGTGTATATGCTATGTGATATCTTTACTAACTGTTAATCGATTACCGGTTTTTTTTTTATTAATAGGTAGGTATTTTAATAGTGGTCTCGAAAAAATACAATCCACTCCTAAAAGTGGACTATATTTATGATTCTCAATTCTCATTTTACTTTATTAGTAAAAACAATATTGTTAATTATGTAGTAATTTTCTACTTTTCGGCTTTAAAATTAATTTAATAGTTTTATTCTTCTCCCTAAAACATATTACTTAAATATAATATTTTTTTTAACTCTATATTAATAGGTTTTTAATTTCTAACTAGCAGTAGGTACCTACCCACCCGCGGCTTCGCCCATGCTCAAACTTCCAATCGCTACCTTTCACAGGATCACCGCTTTTTTTTTTTGTTATCGCTGGGGAAACCCATCATGGGGACCCTACCGGCCGTCAATGGGTAGGGTACTGTGAGACTCCTACTCACTAAAACCCACAGCGGAACCCGTCGCCGCAGTGCAATGGGGTGTGCAGGATCGCTTGCGCATTCACTGCAACACCCCTGCGGACGGCCCGTACCCCGCGGGCCAGCCTCGCCAACAGGATCACCGCTGGGCTAACCTAAAGATTGCCTGAAAATTTCATCAAAATCGCTCCCACTGTTTTGGAGTCCACAGGGAATATACATACACACATCTATTTTCATTTTATTAAAACATCAATTTAAATGTATTTATAGCACGGAAAATGGAGTCTTACATGAAAGTTTGATGACTGCAGCGTCACCTAACGGGTCCAATTATATTTTCAAACCATCCAGAAACCCATTGAAATATACAGAAACAATTTCATCCAAATCGGTCAAGCCGTTTAGGAGGAGTTAGGTGACAAACATGTACAGAAGAATTATATATGTATATAATTAATATGTATATATTAAGATAAAGTATTCTTAATCTGCATAGGTTATTGCAACGTATCTACACTAACTTTGTTTTACTGATAAATACTCAATACACAATATTTAAGATATTTATATAGAAAATATCGCTTAATTTATTAAAAATTATATTTAATTTAAAAAAATATCTTTTATTCATGAAATTATTTAAAATTTTGTTATAAAAAGATTCGTTCCATGTACCTACTATTGTGATTTAATGTAGGTACTATTTAAATTATATAAATCTATCTTATTTGTTCTGTAGTAATGTTCTGTTCTATTTATAATAGTTAACAAAATATGTATAGCAAGTTGCGTATTGAAGAATAATATTCATTATTTTAGCAACCAACTAGCATAGTGGTCGGCTTAGCTATCCCTACACTACGAGGTCGTAGGTTCGAGTCGTTCTGTGTATATTTCATAGACCTCCGAATAAGTAGATGGTGACATTGAGTATTAAGCGTTATTATTATATTATACTAGCGGCTCACCCACGCTTCGCTCGGGTTCGTCGCTAGGTACGTTTTAAATAGATATAAATAGTTATTAGCCAGAGGTAGCTATACAAATTTAATTTTTTTTCGTAATTTTTTTTGATGTTTTAATATTCATTATCCTATTCCGGACTAACTAAGAAATCCAAAAATTCAAATATCATAAAAATTGGTCTAGCCGTTCTTGAGTTTTATGTCACGTCACATGGGAACGCAATCGAACGGGATAAAAAGTATCCTATATCCGTCTCCTGGTTCTAAACTTCCTCCCCACTAATTTTCAGCCAAATCGGTTCAGCTGTTCTTGAGTTATAAATAGTGTAACTAACACGACTTTCTTTTATATATATAGATTCTATATAATAGATATAAGATATATATATATAGATATAAGATTAGATACAACTCCACAAAAAGGACTTAAACAACCCCTGTAGGTCGACTGTTTAATCAGATCCTTTATAATCATTTTAATTTCTTATCAAAACTAACATTCAGATGAAAACAAGGCACCTGTTAGTTATCAGTGAGAGACAAAAAGTGGTTAGATTACTTAGTCGGGAGGCTGGAGATAGAAGATGAAAGGAAAAAGCAAATACGTAGACGGATGTTTGCACTTTATCTTAATTATATTAGATTTTAATGTTTAAACAATATTATTAAAAAGTCGGTTTTAATTTTATTTTTTTCCATTTTTAGTGTAGACATAGTACCTAGTAGCTAAATAAGAAGAAAGTAGTTAAAAATTCAGTAGATTAAAAAGCAATCACCCCTATTTTATACAGTTATGGGTAAATTATTTTATCAAATTTAAATTCGCGATCATTTCGGAATACGTTTTCTCTCTTTCGAACAAAAAATGAAAATTTGCAAATCCGTTTATATATGACGGAGTTATGCCCGAGCATAAAGAAAAATACAAACATCCAAATTGAGAACCTCCTACTTTTTTGAAGTCGGTTAAAAAATCATTAAATCTCAAATTATGTACCAAAAAGACATAATACTTTCTTAGGTTTAAGTGAATATTTGACATTTTAAATAAGTTCTTATTTTCGGATTTTTTGGCGGATTTATTTTGTTTTTTTGGTTCTCGACGCTTAGAATGATTTAGAGCAATCATGGTCACGGCAGAGACTCTCAATCAAAAATAAATCAACAAAAAAAAAACAAAAACAACGAATAAAATAAACCGAAAAGATCATTTTATTTAAAATAGGTACCAAAAAGGTATTTTGGTCTGGCAGACACATATTATGTCAAGTTCCCAATAAATAATAATGATACTTCCAATTTTAGATGGATGAATTATCTTCATCCATCTGATATCTAATTGATCATCCAACCATGATATTTTGATCACGTGCACATTACAATTGTTATCAACTACTTTTGTTTTAAATAAAAACTTTATAACAAAAAAATATAAACCGATTTCAAAAAAAGCACTAAAAAGTAAAAAATAACTGATTGGTAGTTTTCATTTACTATCCATACCTAATCAAATATTTTCGAAGTCGGTTTACTTTGCTTTGTATCGGCTGGTTCTACTCAAAAATGTTTTTAGTGCCCAAATTTTTTTTTAAACGTCTTTATTATGTCTATTTATTTTCATTGATAGAAAGCTTAACCCTACCATCATAATATATGCTATACCTAACTATAGTTATTGTATTCAGCCCTTTTTATTCTGGGCACGGGTTCTCTTCAATACGAAGGTGAGGAGGCCAAAGTCCACCACGCTGGCCAAGTGCGGGTTAGTGTGGACTTTACATGCCTTTTTAATACTTGCTAAGATCTCTCAGACATGAAGGTTTCCTCACGTTGTTTTCCTTCACCCTAAGGCAAGTAATAGTGTAAATGTAATCATATGGGAAATTATTCGCACATGAAAATATCAGAAGTGCGAGTGTCTCAGGATTTGAACCTGCTTCACTTGGTTTCCCATGTGAGTACGTCAAGGCGTTGCCTATATATAAAATTATAAATAGTAAAATCACCTAAGAACGCACCGAAACAAAGAGTACGTCGAGTAAAATAATCTATACCTAGATACATATAATAAAATTCTGAGTCGAATTTGTACATTTTTTTTGGAAAATCTTATTGTAATACTC